GCTGAGGTGAAGTATTTGCCCGGGTTTTCACCCAGGAAGAAACTTTGGATAGCAAGAATAACCTCCTTTTTTATAATTCTCCAACAATGCACATAAAAGGCTGATGTAAAACCATCAGGTCTAGAAGCCTTATTAGGATTTATATCCTTAAAAGCCAAGAAAATCTCTTGTTCGGAAGGAACATCGACAGGAGAAAGTCCAGCCACATATTCCCTCTCTTCATCAAAAATAGTAGAGTTGACATGAAGCACTTGGGTGTTAAAAGTCAATAAATCAGTGAAAATTTTCACCGCATTGTTACCAATACCTTCTTCATCAGTAATCATATCCCCATTTTGGGATTTAATTTTTAGAATGGTATTAATGTTCCTCCTGTGCTTAATGGAAGCGTGAACGATCCTCATTGGTAAAGGATATGTCATTTGCTTTTGGTATAAAAATTGTTCCTCAAGAGAGACAGCCCCAAGAAAAGAAGTATGTGCCTTAGCCACCTCATTCTCAAGTGAGGGATTAGAGATCACCTGATGTTCTAAGGAATCAACCATCATTTGAGCCTCAGTGACCTTGAGATGAACATTACCAAAATCTTGAAAGTTCCATCTTCTCAATCTACTAGCTACTTTCTTATGTAATTGCCAGAGAACATACCAAGGTTCCTTAACACCCTCAATTTTCCAAGCTTGCTAAACAAGACTCAAAATACTATCATGAGTAGTCAAATTATAAAAGACTTTGAATTTATAAGTAGTAGGCTTCTAATGAAAAACAAGAGTGAACATGATAGAATTATGATCTGAGGTTGCATAACTCAAGTGATGAACCGTGGAAATAGGATTTTAATTGAAAAAATAGTCATTATCAAAAAATTTGTGCAGGCATTGAGAGAGTGAACCTCTCCTTTAACTATAAGGTGAGCCAGAGAAGCACATATCAAAAAGTCCCGCATCAGAAATATTATCACAAAAAGAGGTGGAGGTAAATGTGATATATGTTGTTGACCTCACTTTTTATTGAGGTTTAAATTTTCCTCTTTAGTAGCCTAAGGTCTAG